CTTACAGATCCCGTACTCCCTGAACATGAGTGCGAAGCCCGGCAGGTCGGCCCAGAATCTGCGATTGCCGCCCGCCAGGACGACCTCGAATCCGTGCTCGTGGTGCTCGACTCTGATCCCGGAGAGGGCGACGAGGAAGTCCACGAGGCGCCGGCTGGCTTCCGGGTCGCTCCCGAACTCGCGCGCCGCTCTGCAGAGCACCCCCCAGACCGCCAGGATGCGTATGTCGGCCGGGTGGCTCTGGACCCAGGGATCCAGGACGGCGGCCGCGTCGCGGGCGGCCGCGTCCGGAGCGGAGGTGCCCTCGAGCAGCCGCGCGTAGATGCCGATGAGGCGCTGGTGTTCCGGGCGCTGGTATGCGTCCGACGCGCGGAGCTTCGTCTCCCAGGAAGCGACGGTGGACATAGCGACCAGGATGGTTGGTGCTGGCGGTATTCGTCGTGTTGCTTTACTGGTATCTGTTCGTTGCTTGCCGGGGAGAGTTGTTTCTTACTTGGGGTGACTCACTTCGGGGGAGCTCGTAGACCACAAATGTGGTCACTCTCTGCTGGACGTCATCATGAAGCGGCGAGCCGTATACCGTGCCGCATCTTGACAGGCGCCCGTCTGTGTGCGGGAGGCGGCGTCTGTGCCGGACAAGATGCTGTACCTAGATAGTACGTAAGTACCTACCTATTAACTCGTTTGCCGGTCCTGTAAGAAGTTCATGTGGACGATAGCAAACGTGAAAGTAGAACGTCAAGGCCGCCCCTAACTAGTAGTGGATGCGTGCCTACGGAGTATAGCTGAGATAGTACTCACCTAGGTGTAAGTACTTACCTGAGGTATATGTTTTCAGGCAATCGTGGCACCTGTATGTATTGCACATGAATGAGGCTTAGCTTCCGGCTGTTGTACATGTAACAAGATACCGGTACGGTACAAATCCGACATGCCACGCAACCTGAAATCGGGCCCGGACGGACGCTCCATCCAACCTCAAACCACGTGCATGTTTGCGCATCAATTCGCTGCATCCAACCTCTTCGTCCATTGCCTTAACTTCAGGCAGGTCATCGCTGGCAAACAAATAGTACTTGCCGAGTACAAAGTACCGACGTGGCCATTCCAAATCGTACACGGCCAACAACGCCATTCATATGACTGGCCACTGATATTGCCTTATCACCCTATTGTTCTCGTCAAAGTTCAGACTTCAATCGCCAACCACCAAGCGTCAGGCCCAGTCACACAGCCTCAAACGCGTGTGCCGCGCCTCCGCCCTCCTCACGAGAATGAATAAGAGGGACCTGGACAACTCGTCCACTGACTACGGCAGCTGATACTACTAAACTCGGTGGGCCGTACCGTACACCGTGTCTCATTGAGAAACAACAGATCGAGCATGGCCGAGCCCAAGAAGACCGGCTTCTGGAACGGCCTCTTTAGGACACGCAGCAAGGCTGGAGGCAGCGCAAAGCTGGTGCGCATACACCCCTCGTCCTGCATATCTGCACGTAGCGAACCTTGCTCACGAGTTACGTAGGAGAAAGAACGACGGTCTGATCCTGGTCCTCCTCCTCCCGCGGCCAGCGTTCAGCACCGCCGGCCACCGCGGCGGCAGGACGGCAGTCCTCGTCATGTCGCGAAAGACAAGGGAAAAGGCAGGGAGCAGCCGAACGACGGCCGCCACGTGTACGAGGCCGCCTCCCCGCTGTCGCGCTGGCCGCCGTCGGGCATGGCAAGCGCCGAGGAGCTCACCCTGGGTCGGGCCATGGAGCTCATCGCGCGCGGCGTCCCGGTGCACAAGGGCCACCGACGCGCCGTCGCGCATGCCCCTGACAGCTACTACGCCCTGTACGCGACGACGGCGGGCAACCACGGCGACGAGACGGACGGGGCGGACCTACACGACGCCATGACGCAGCTCTCGACCCTGCGGATCCGGGGCGGCGCCGGCCCGCCCAACTACCCTTGGGAGACGCTCGAGCAGCCGAGCCAGGCCTTCGCGTGCGGCGCGCGGCCCGGCACCGTGACCCTCAATGCCTGGGTCAGCCGCTCCAGCGCCCTCCCGCCGACCATCGCGCTGCGGGATGCCGGCGTCGTGCCCCGGCCCGTTGAGCTGTCGCAGGTCTTCCATCGGCTCAAGGATCTGGAGACGGGCGGGCTGGAGGATGACAGCGAGGAGGCGCTCTACAAGCTCTACCGGCGGTTCCTGCGGGACCCTTCGTCATCTTCGTCGTCCTCGTCATTGTCCAGCCCACGCCGTCGCATGGAGCAGCAGATCACGGATCTCGTCCTGTGCCTCTCGGGCCCGGACTGGATCGACTTCACCGTGCCCAAGAACCAGGTGGTGACCAAGTTCATCTTCGACACGAGCGGCGCGAACCACGAGCAGTACCTCCGCTTCTTCTACCAGCTGCTGCTGAGCCTCGAGCTGGAGCTGCGCATCAACTCGCGCCTGCACCGCGACGACGCCAAGGAGCGGCTCCTCGGCCAGATCCCGCCCAAAATCCAGTGGAACCTGGCCCTCGCGCGGCGCTGGCGCGACAACGTCCGCGTCGAGCAGTACGGCCGGGCCGCCGACCAGGTGCGGTTTCGCTTCAAGCTCCGGAAGCGGCAGACCAAGATGCTCAAGCGGTTCGCCCAGATGATGAAGTGGCCGAACCTCGCCGAGACGGTGGACACGCTGAAGCAGAGAGGCGAGGAGAACACGCTGGTCTCTATCAGCTCGCACGCCAGTAAGTCATGCTCGGACGGATTCAGCCACTCAGGGGTACTTGAAAGGATGTTTCATTTAGTAGCGGGAGCCCAACCTCTCTGCACAGCCCCTGAGACCCTAAGGCTTGTTTATCTACCTGCCAAGGGTAAATGCTGACTCTATTCATCGCAGTGGCCTTCTTCAGTGGACTGGTGCTGCCAGGGGTAAGTAATTGACATCCTGAATACTTAACCTACCGTCTGCCACGCAGAGCGCTGACAAGGACGGGTAACAACAGCCCACGTTCCCCTTCCTGATGATGAACAGCCTGGTCGACGTGGACCCGGACGAGGCGACCGACGACCTGGCGCTGCTGACGCACCTGCACCCCAGCTGCGGCTTCCAGTACCGCGGCAGCCACACGTACTGGACGTCGGGCAGCGTCGTCGGCAAGGTGCTGGCGCCGACGTGCCGCGAGGCCGCCGGCTGGGTCGGCCCCGCGCGCCCGACGCCGGACCTGGCGGGCTCGCAGATCGCCCGCGTGCGCGCCCGCCCCCCGCCGCCGCTGCTCGACCGCCTGCTCGGGAGCGGGAGCCCGCGCGCCGCCGCCGAGGCCATGGGCCGCCGCTCCGACCCGCTGGGCCCCGCCGCCGAGGTCTACCCAGCGGCCGACTACGCGCTGCTGGCGCCCGACGTCGACGGCGACGCCGGCGCGGCCGCGACGGTGCGCGTCGAGCTGCTGCAACTGAAGCCGCTGCTGCTCCCTCCGGGCGGCGGCGGCTCCAACGCCAACGCCAACGCCAACGGCGGAGGAGGAGGAGGAGGAGGAGGAGGGCGAGTCGGAGGACCGCCACAGTGGTTCGACGCGTCGCTGCGGCTGGCCATCGACGGCGAGCCGTGGCTGCTGAGCCTGGCGCACGACGTGTGCTTCGTGCACGCGTGGCCGTGCTCGGGCGGGCCGCACCCGCTCTTCCTCGACTACGCCTACACGCCCGTGCGCGCCGACGAGGTCGTCCACGTGCGCGACTGGGCAAAGCGCAAGATGCAGCTCAGGCGGCGACAGCAGGGGCGGCGACGGCGGCGGCATAGAAACGTAAAGACGAGGAACGGGGAGAAGGAGGAGAGCGGTGAGTCTTCTAAGGGGGAGGGGGCGGGGGACAACAAGGACGACGACCACGACGACCACGACCACGACGACCAAGACGACAATGGAGACGACGAGGAGGACGACGACCCGGAGGGTGTGCTCGTCATCAAGGCGTTTGGCGAATCCGACTACGAGGTGCTGGCGCGCGCGTGGTGCGCGCACTGGGGCTTGCACGCCGTCGTGGCGGATCTCGGAAGCACGTGGTAAGTCCTCTGCTTCCTCTTATTTTTACTTCCTCTTCCTCTATTTCCACGCAGGTGCTGCCCTCCGTCGTGGCCCCTACCGCCATACTTTTCTCTCCTCCCAGCCTTGCGTCCAACTACCTCCCCCCGTTTCTTCCTCTGCGTGGGCGGTGGCAACCTACCGTAGAGCCCGGGTTTTCAGAGTCGAAGAAAGAATCCAACGGACAAACAACCTACTGACACTTCCGGCCGCTCGGCGGGGCGGACGATGCGATCAAGCCTGGCGTGCGCCATTCGCGAGGCCTACGCGGCCACCCTGACGGTCGTCATCCTGGTCGAGGGGGAGCTGGGAGGGAGCGAGTGAGCGAATACGCTCACCTAGATCTTCGCCACCGCTCCGATAGAGGGACAGAGGGAGGGAGATGGGTGAGTGATGGTGGTTTGCACGTGCGCGCGTGCGAGAACGGGGAGCTCGTGGGAGAGAGGGTAGTGGCACTTATGCAGGGTGCTTACCTGAGTGCCTACTTACCTACCTACTCTGCGATAGACAGGGAGGAGACCAGGCAGATGCATCATGTGCCGGCTCTTCGCCTTCCATCACTCGTATCTGCGGAGATGGCTGGATGGAGGCAAGAAAGGGAGGAGGTGGGGGAGACGGAGGTCGTCGCCATCGTCTCCTCCGGTGGGTGAGAGAAACAACCCACTGCCGCACGCAGTCTCTCGCTATTGCTATTTTTCTAGATTGAGATACCCCATTGCCATTGGCACACGGAAAGAAATGAATAGCTCCTACGTCGTTGGCTGTCTGTGATATGTACCTACCCAAACTAAACCCATTATGTTCTAAAAAGCAAGAAGGAGGCATGCCAAGGATGTGTGTTATCATATACTTGTCTTTATCATCCACTCTCCCAAGAGAGACGGGAATGAGGCCGAGAGTAAGAAACAGGAGAATTGGGGCATGATCAGAACAGCAAAGGACGAGGCAAAAAGTCGCGATCCAGAATTGAACTGGAGACCTTCGGAATTCGATTACTTTTGACTATGCGTCAATCTCTCTGCAGTCCGCTGCTCTACCACTGAGCTACCGCGACTGGAACAGCATGATACGATGTGGATTTTGTCTTGCAATACTGGGCTATAATTGGCGCTCAATTTTCTTCTCCATCTGGTCTAACAGCTTTGACTTCTAGACAGATTACTGTGCAAAATGGGGGGTCTAATTCCACCAATTTCTAATCGACCGGGATCACCGCCTACTTTATACTCCGACTTGAAGATATACTATAGTATGGTTACAGGCCAAAGTAAGGTCTGCATAAGGAGTACTCTTTTCCCCACCACCTTATAGTACGGTATACGGTTTTTGGTATAGCCTCGTCGTTCTGGTAGCCCACGATAGAGTTTTCCCTCCATTCGCAGTGGTGAACCCGATTTGTCTTAACCCCAAGGCTACATGAGGGGAAGGACCTTTACAAACCCTGCCCCACGGTATCTCGGAGATGCCTACCTAAGTACCTACCTACCTAGGCATTTAGTCCTGGAGCTTTGGAAAGCAAGGAGGCCTTACGAAGCTATCCGGAAGTACTGGCAGCTGGGTCATGGAAGGTACACCGTACAGGAAGGCACGCAGCACACTGAGGGGTACAAAAGCAAATTCTGGTGGGGGACTGGGAGTAGGCTCTCCATCATCCTTATTACTACCAAATCACACTCTTTGATTTCCTCTCTCAATCTCTGGCTGATCACTGTTAATTGCCAGCCAAACTGTAAGGCTGCTCCCAACTTCCAAGGACCTGACTTGGTTATACGCGCCGCCAAGGTCACAACTCAGGTCAATGAGTCAAGGCATGATACGTATCAGCTGCACTACAGAGTCATAGCTAGCATGTATTATGGGGATTATCTGGTCGGCTCTGTCATGACAAGATCAAGGAAGCATAGCTTCATTGCCCGATTCCATAAATCATACACGTGTTCGCCGGGGAGAGCTTGGGATAAGCACAGGGGCAGCAATGCTTACACCACCGAGGGCTGCCGAGGGGAGTGGCAAGCAGTGCTCTGCAAATCCTTCACGATGCCCACCACCTGACGTCTCTGCCTTTTGTGCTGGGTGGGGCTGACATCCTGCAAGGTCTGTAATGAGTCGCGAGTATGAGATCAGCACCAGAGAAAAAAAGATTATGGCCGACTGCGCAGACCGATCTTTGCTTTCGGCAGAGCTATCGGCTGCGTATGGGGTACCTCTTAGGGCAGAATACACTGGAGGGGCAGGCCGCAGAGCTGAGGGCTGCTGAGGGGCAGACTGGCAGAGCTCCAACGAGAGCCAAACGGCTTGGGGAGAAGATGGGACGGTGAGAAAAGATGAGCGGCGGCAGGGGCGATTTTCAGGGGTCCTCAGCGGGGCAGGCCAGGCCAGCAGATCTGACCCCACGCTGCCCCGCCGTGAGTGACGACAGAGGGCCATAGCTCCCCGTGCCGGGGAGCTCTGTCTCAACGCTGGCGGGAACGACTGCCCGTTAAGTGCGTGCCGGAGCCCATGTCAAATGGGCGTGGGATTTCTCTCAACACCTTGAACAGCTCTGAGCTATCACTACTACTGCATACCCTCCCACCCTCGCTACCTACTACCTTGTCGTCCTCCTGCAGCAGTCCAGCCCGTCACGCCCGTGCAGCCCAAAATCCAGACGCGTGAGACGGTGAGCAGCACACACATACCGCCACACCATTGGACGGACCAAACACTCCTGTTGCCCTCGTCCTGTGCCATCCCGCCCTCGCTTACGACTGTGGCTGGCACCGCGAGGCCATTCCCGCCGCCGTCTCTGGCCAGCTCCGGGGCCTCTGGCCACTCACTGCCCGGCATGGAGTAAGTCGCACCATGGTGTTGGCCCTTTGATCATCCCGTCTCCTGCTCGGACGAGTGCTCCGTGAGTGCCCTCGGCCGGTGTGGCCAGACCAGGCAGACCAGAGGTGTGGTCTGGGCTCGTCACTCGTGTTAGAAGAGAAAGTACCATGCCGTGCCTGAGTAATCCCAAGACTACCTTGCCTGCTCCTGTATCGCACACGATGTGATTTCCAGGACTGCTACGGAGTACCGGCACATCAAACAAAAGACCTCTCCCGCTCGAGTTCCCGCGATCGCCCAGCTGCTTCCCCTTGCAAGAACACGATTACACATCTCCCTGAGCCCTCCTCCTTGTATTGCTCGTGCCCGCCTGACCTCGCCTTGACTTTGCCGTGCCTCGTGATCCCGCACAGTCCGTTACCATGGTTTCTAACCCGACTGGCAGTACTCGTAACGTAATTCACTTCGAGAACAATGTGCGTCACTCTATTCAGGTTGCCTGGGAGTCTTCAGCAACCACCACCTGGCTTATCCCGTCAGCTGCCCACTCCCCGAGTACTCTTTTGCGCAACACCCAGAAAAGGCTGCACAGCAACAGAGCAAGGAGCCAATTCCAAATTCGGCCGTTCTTCCTCCAAGACCTCATTCTGGGCTCTGTCTGCCGAAAGCGTACTTCTCAGTTCCTGGACAGCAGCAATTGACCATGATGCAGGACTACTACATAGGCATTGACGTCGGCACGGGCTCGGCGCGTGCCTGCCTCATCGATTCCGATGGCGACATCAAGGCCCTGGCCTCGGAAGCGATCAAGCTGTGGCAGCCTCAGCAAGGCTACTATGTATGAAACCACTCTCAGCTCCAAATGCCACCTCCAATGACTTCAGGCTAATTGGGCAACGCAGGAACAATCCACTACCGACATCTGGCATTGCATCTGCCACTGCGTACAGCGAGTCGTCCACCAATCGGGGGTAGACACCTCCCACATCAAGGGCGTTGGCTTCGACGCGACATGCTCGCTGGCTGTCTTCTCCCACGATACCGATGAGCCCATGACCGTGACCGGGCCCGATTTCGAGAATGATGGCAACGACCGCAACGTCGTGCTGTGGCTCGACCACCGCCCTGTCGAGGAGACGGACAAGATCAATGCCACTGGCCACAACCTGCTGCGCTACGTCGGCGGCAAGATGAGCATAGAGATGGAGATTCCCAAGGTTCTCTGGCTGAAGAACAACATGCCGCCCGAGCTTTTCGACCGCTGCAAGTTCTACGACTTGACCGACGCCCTGACGCACCTCGCGACTGGCAACGAGATCCGCAGTTTCTGCAGCACTGTCTGCAAGCAGGGATATGTCCCCGTTGGCGTCGATGGTAGCGTCAAAGGCTGGCAAGAGGATTTCTACGAGACCATTGGCCTGGGAGACCTAGTCAAGGATGACTTCAAGCGCATGGGAGGGGTCGACGGGGTGGTGAGCCCTTTTTCTTTTCTATCCTCTTCACGAATTTACTCAGGCTCTGATTGCTGACGTTGGCCATAGAACGGAAGGTATCTCAGTGCGGGCGAGCTGGTCGGCACCCTCTCCGACACTGCCAGCAAGCAGATGGGCTTGCCCTCAGGCATTGCGGTCGGCAGCGGCGTCATCGATGCGTACGCCGGTTGGATCGGTACTGTTGGAGCCAAGGTCGATACCGAGTACGGTCACGCAGACGAGACGCATCCAGCAAACGACTTGGCCCAGGCTTCGACCCGACTCGCCGCCGTGGCCGGCACGTCGACTTGCCACTTGGCCATGTCCGAGAAACCCGTGTTCGTGAACGGCGTCTGGGGACCCTACCGCGACGTCCTCATCCCTGGCTTCTGGTTGGCCGAGGGTGGCCAATCGGCAACTGGCGAGCTCTTGCGTCATGTCATCGAGACCCATCCAGCCCATAAGGAGGTGCTGCCGTTGGCGGAAGCGATGCACATGAACATCTACGACTACATGAATTCCCATCTCCGCGAGTTGGCCGAGAAGAGTAGTGCGCCTACCGTCTCCTACTTGGGCCGACACTTCTTCTTCTACGGCGACTTGTGGGGCAACCGTTCGCCTGTCGCGGATCCCAACATGAAGGGCTCTGTCATCGGTCTCAGCCCAGACTCCAGTGTCGATGGCCTGGCTCTGTACTATTACGCCACCATGGAGTTCATCGCGCTGCAGACGCGACAGATCATTGAGGCGATGAATACTTCGGGCCACAACATCCAGACCATCTTCATGTCAGGCAGCCAGTGCCAGAACGACATGCTCATGGACCTTATCGCGACGGCTTGCAACATGCCGGTGTTAGTCCCGCGCTATGTACACGCAGCCGTGGTACACGGCGCGGCCATGCTCGGTGCCAAGGCGGCGAGTGCCGACGCCGAAGGCAACACGGAGAATCTCTGGAGCATCATGGACCGCATGAGCAAGCCTGGACGGCTGGTCAAGCCCGGAAAGAACGCCAACGAGAAGAAGCTTCTCGACGCAAAGTACGACGTGTTCCTTGAACAGTGCCGCACGCAACAAGAATACCGCAACAAAGTGGACCAGGCCACATCGGACTGGACCAACGGTCGTGCCAAATAGATGGCGGTTGAGGCGCAAGGGTGGTTTGAGCATCTGTGATAGTCTACTTATCCAGGCTACAGGCGCCTGTACTGGATGTTGATGCCAGGGATAACAGTCAACATTTAGTCTGGGGGCGCCTTCGTCATAAGCCTGGACAAGTATGAGCACGGGGCTCTCTTCTGATTGTCTTCGAGGTTTTCTCGACGATGTATGGCGTTTCGGTTGATAAAACGAGCTGATGCTGCATTCGCGCACGAACTCGATATTGCTATAAAAAGCCCCTGGCATTGAGCAAAGACAATAAGTGTGAAATGGAAAAGAGTAGACCAACTTTCACTGTCGACAACGAGATTGTCTGAGATTGTCTGCACCGATACGGAATACTCTGTATTTTGCACGGCAATTACGGATCCGATATCAAGAATTGTAGTTCGTAGAAGCTCTCCGTAGGTACTTCGTAGCAACCTAAGGTCTGTGCTCAAGTATCAAACGTGGATTGGCGCGATGGAAAGACGCGTGGGGCCCGTGCACCCGCGGTGCAGTTCTGGCGCCTAAGCTTGGCTGTTCTTGCCTTGTTGATTGTTTTCTTCAGCCTTGCCGGAAATCTCGCCAGTGCACCCACTGCCTAATTGCTGGTCACCTCTCCCAACTACCC